GGGGGCCCGGTCTGCAGCTGCTCGAGCAGCCCCTGCGAGATGGTGCACGTGGGGACAGCGTGCGGGATGGCAGCAGCCCCGATGAAGGACACAGGCACTTTCCTGGGGCTGATGCTGCTGTCTCCACTACGGGCTCCTCCCTGGCCATGGGAGCAGGATGCTTCTTTAGAAACAGGATGAATAGGAATGGTTTATTCCCTGCTTTCCCACAGCGCCATGGGTGCTTGGAGCAGTCTCCATCCGCAAGGGCTCTGCACCCATCCGTGCCTGAATGAGACCCACGTTCCCAGGCTGGTCATGCACTTCCCACTCCTCGTCCCGTCCTGTTCCCAGCAAGCAGGAGACCCAGTCGGAAGGGGGGACATTTTGGGTGCTACAGGGATCTTTCCCAGGTTTTTTAGGGAGCAAAACTGCTCCTCCTGAGAGCACCGCTCCTGTTGGGTACTGGCTGCACAGGATCTATGATTTTGATTGTTTTTTTTTCTGCTGTTAACATGCAAACTGATGCACCGTCCTGCGGCACTATCCTGTCTGTCAGTAGCCACATTGAATTCCCTGGATGGGATATAAGGACATGGCAAATGTGTTGTGAATCTCTTTCCTAATGTCTGGGAAAAAAAAAGGGCTGTACAAATAGATTAAATAACCAGTGAACCACTGTGATCAGAGCAGGGGGTTGCATTTAGCCACAAGAAATATTTCTAGGAGCCTGACAAGAATTTCTTTCCAGCTCATTTGTTTGAAGAACTTTATTCTGCAGGTAAACATATGGAAGGGAAGGAAAAGAAGATTGTGGCACTAAATCACAGAGCAGCTTTGGTCAGGAGCGACGGCAGGGGCTCCTGGATGAGCCCACCGCAAGCAGGACTGCAGCGTGGGAGAGGCTCCTCGCTCTGGGCACGAGCGTGGCAGGATCCCGGGGATCGGGAAGGGCTGGGAGCATCGGGACACCCGCCAGCCCCTTGCGCTGCAGGGGCAGGTCACAGTCCTGGGATCCCCCGGCAGCCGTTCTGGCCCGCGGTGCCCATGCTCCGGCCACGGCAACCCTGAACGTGTCCTTCTGCTTCCAGGTATTCCGAGGAGGAGATCCGGCAGAAAGTGGGGACCTTCCGGCAAATGCTGATGGAGAAGGAAGGCGTGCTCACCCGGGAGGACCAGCACGGGCGCCAAATGTAAGTGACAGCAGCTCTGGCAGCAGAGGGACTGGTCTCTGTGGCTGTGGGGACAGCCCCCTCCGAGAGCTGCCTGCAGAAGGGATGCGTAAAACGCGGCCTCCAAACTTGCTCTGGGTGCTGAGAGCAAGGAGAGCAGCTCTGAGAGATCCCAGCTCTCTGGGAAGGCCAGATTCCCTCCAGCATGGAGGGATCTAAGGCAGAGGTTCTCTCTTATCCAGCACTGCTCTTCCAGAATCCGCAGAGTGCTGCGTGACGACGCACGTGATGCACCCGCTCTGCCCTGGGGGAGGCAAAGCGGGCTGGGCGGTCTCACCTCTGCCCTTTCCCTGCGGATGGGCTCACCTCTTCTGCCTTCCTTGGAGCTGCAGCTGAAGCTCCTGCCTCTCTCCAGGGAAGGGACATGTATGATCGTAATGACAGTTGTTTCTGTAAGGGACATGGGTTGGATCAGCAGGGCTGGAGCCTTGGCAATTATTTTTTCCCAAGGCAGAACCAGAGCCATCCCTTCAGTGCCCAGTTATCAGCCCCACTGAGGAAGCTGCTCCAAGCAGCTCCTGCTCTGTGTGTCCATCATCTCAGGGTTCCTGGCTCTGCCCCTTTCTCAGGGGCTGCTTCTGCCTCAGGGTCTCGAAGCTGAGGTTAGTCGTGCAGAACACCCAGCTCTCGCTGGGGCCCCGCCGCCCACTGCTGCCTGCCCGCGCAGCGCAGGAGCATCCCCGTCCTCGCGAGGGATTGATCATGATTTATCTGTGAAAAGCTTAATGGCCCAGGCAGCATGGCTGGCCTGGCATGCTCCATCTATCAGCCTGGAAACCAGGTCACTTGGGACAGGAATAGCTCCTGCAGGTTCACTGAATATTAATGCTTCATTAGGGTCAGGAAATCAGGGCGAGGAGGAGGAAGGGAAGCTGCGGCGGAAGGGAGAGCCTTCCTCCCGCAGCACCAGTGCTGCCTCCAAGGAGCTGTGAGGGTCCGGGCTCCTTCTCCTCCATGGCCACCCGGCTGCACAAGGAGGACACGAGAGGCCCAGTCCCTCCTGAGGCAGCTCCCAGCCCTGCCAGCCTCCAGCGTCACTGTCTCCTAATGGCCTGGTGAGTGAGGCAGCGCTCTGGGAATGAGGAGAGACCTGGAACAGCAGAGTGGAGTGAGGGCTGTTCCTCCATCCAGGCAGTGAAAAGGAAGCGACTTCGCTGGTTGCCATGGCCGTACCAAGATGCCCAACCCCACGTTGATGTCCCAGGGTCAAGCTGGCAGGTCAACCAGCACCCACTGCCCGTTGGGGTGCGAGTTGTCCCCAGAGCATCCTCCTGGGCATGTTCTGTGGCTGCTGGTGGGCACCTGGCCTGGCTCTTCCACTGGATCTGCCATCGTGATAAGCACAAGGGAAACAGAAGGGAGAGGAGGGTTACCTGCACAGCCACTGCTGTGCCCTTTCCCTGCTTGCAGCCTTGCTTTTGCACTGTCAAGGGTAATCGTTGAAGATTAGTCTATGGGCTATAAATAATTGTGCTGATCTGGAAGGACTGGTCTCAAAGCACAGGATTGCTCAGAGGTGCCAAGACCGATCGCAGCAGTGGCACTGCCTCTGCACAAGCTGCAGCGGAGGAGCTGGCACCCCTGCAGCCTGGACAGGAGGTGATGGAGGGCACAGAGAGACATCTGCAACGTCCTGTGTGGCCTGGGAGAGTGGCTGGGCCCTGGCTGTGCCTCCCAGCACAAAGCCAAGAGATGCTCAGACAGGACTAGCTGCAACCAGGTCCAAAAGAAGTGGTTCTTCAGGCAGTGTGCAAACATGCAAAGGCCTTTCCAAGGGCTGTCCTGGGCGTAAAAGCTCTGCACTGGTTCCAGAAGTAGCTGGACAGAGGTGATGCATTAGAGTTATTAAATAAGCACTCGCTCCTGTCCTTGAAACAGTGTGGAGGCTGGGAGAACACGCAGCAGAAATATCACGTATGCTGATCCTGGTGTGATGCTCCTCTGGATGTGTACTTTTCTAGATCAGATATTGGGCTGGATGGGCTATTTGTCTGAATCTGGGCAGCTGTTCTTCTTTCAAAGCTCGTGTGAAAGATCAGCATCATCTGCAAAATCCCCAAGGGAAACCGAGGCACAGAACTGTGACACAACCAGCTGAGCCCCTAACTGGCTCTCTGCACAATTCCAGCTCTCTTCTCCATCCACGTGCGTGCAGCCTGGCAATACAGCCCAGCTCCCAGAGGAGTAACTGCTTGATGAGCAGGCTGGTGGGACTGAAAAAAAAAGATTAACCCCAAACTGATAGCATGTGTCAGGAGGGGAGATGTGTCTCGAGCAGTATAGCCTGGTCTTGAACCGCCGAGCACAGCTAATGGAAGAAGAGCTGCCAGCAGGCTCCGTTTTGGAGCACGTGGTCGGTGATCTGCTCACGGTGCTGGATTTCATCAGCTGCTCATGGAGCAGAGCGAAAATCCAGCAAATAATGACTCCTCTTTGGTCCTCTCACTTCTTCCTTGCTTCCCTTTCCCCCTGTTTATGTTATTATTTGAAAGGCATATGCTGTCCTTGGGACATGGCCAAGCCGAAAGGTGTTTGGAGAGGACCCAAAAGGCAGTTGCAGGCCGGGGGGATGGCAACCTGAGACCCATGCGGTCTCCCTCCTCTGCCAACCAGCAGGACCTGCTCGGCTGAGCAACCATTTGCAGCAAGGATTTTCAATCCAAAATGCTTTTAATTGGGTTAAACTCTCCAGGGCCTGTCTGCGACCAGCAAAGTGGCAGGTCAGCTGGGAACAGCCCCAAGCTGCTCTTTCAAGGATGGATGCCCCATGGACCAGGCAGAGCAGGGAGGAGAAGAGGGAAATCTATCCTCACTGATGGGAGAGGATACTGAGGTGCAAGGATTAGGAGCTTGGTTCCTCAATATCCCCCATTCCTTCTAGGGGGATTCCCTGGGCTTTCCCAGGCACCCCTGCCCAGGCAGTTGGATACTGAGTGACTTGTGCTGGTCGCCCAAGGACTTTAGCCCCCAGTGCGGCTTTACGCCTGCATTCCAGGTACTATGAAGCTTCCAAGGCTCTGGATGGCTTCTCCTTTGGGGAATTAACTTGTGATATCCCACAGGGTGTGATTGGAGAGTGTGCCGGATGTATGTGCTAGAAGGGCAGATCCCTGCTCCCAAACAAAGCTGGAATGCTGGGAGCGCGGGAAGAATGGCAAATTAACAGCCTGTACCATTTTCTGTGGCTCCTCGGATGAGTCTGGTTCCAGCTCCGCTCCGGAGACCTGTGCAAGGGGCTGAGCTGGAGGCCAGGGAAGCTCGCTCAGTCCCGGAATCCTGGAGGTGGCGTTGGAGACAGCCCGCTGGTTGTCATCTCCATGCAGGGACATTGCTAGGGAACGCTTCGTCAGGGCTCTTTGACGTGGTTTTATCTGCTCCACCCCCTTCTTCTCAGCTGCTGTCACCAAGTCTCATCCTCAGACACCTTTTTTTGGCCCAAGAGCTCTTCCTTTGCTCGGGGCCCAAATCACTGGCAGATCACCCCCATCCATCTGTAGATGGATGCACTTGTCTTTGCCTTGCGCAGCCGGGCTTTTTGGAAAAAGAGAATGTCTGGAGACAGGGGAAGAAAAGGGGTACAGCCCAGGGGACGTGCGGAGAGTGCTGGGTGCCAGGGCCATGCTCAGGGGCAGAGCTAGGAGGTCACTGTGTCCCTGGGGCATCCTT